ATTTTGACACACAAAAAATTGTACTTCGATGTCTTACTGATTGAGGAATGATGAAATGTTTGTTTTAAAAGAAATAAAACTTTTGAACCGAAAAACATTTCTGTAGTATTGCCAATTAAACTTCATGGGAAAGACCATAAAATTACAAGGAATTGAGCTCAACTTGGGGAATTTTAGTTTTTCTCCCATGAACTTTTCATAATCATCCCTCCCCCACACCTATTCTATAAATATATTTCCCTCTCCATGATTCCAACCATATACTGGAAAGGAGAGCAAAACTCTATTCTTTTATTGAATACAATAGAGGAAGCATATTTGAGCAATTCCAATTTTCTACAAAATAGCACCAAGTCAGATGTACACAGCTGTTGAAAATAATTATTTCTTGATAATTGATCAGTTCCAGTGTACTGGAGATTGATCAAATCTGGACAATATACTTTGCCAGAGCATTATAGAGCCACGATGGTATAGTGGTTAGAATCCAGTACTTCAGGCTACTTCTGCTGACTGACTGCAATTTGGCAGTTTGAATCTCATCAGGCTCGAGGTTGATTCAGACTTCCATCCTTCTGAAGTGGGTAAAATGAGGACCCAAATTGTTAGGAGCAATATGCTGATTCTATAAACCGCTTAGAGAGGTCTGTAAAGCCCTGTGAAGTGGTATATAAGTCTAAGTGCTAGTGGTATTACAACAAATGTCAGAAATGCAAGAGAAGGTCAATAATATGGAAAACCTTTTTATCAATCAATCAGTTTATTAGTTTTAGACAGAGACCAGAACAAATAAAAATACTTAGTAAATATACAATTAAAAATTCTAGTATAAAAATAATAAATAACAACTAAAATCTATACTAAAACCCAGTCCGTCATACATGGTCTGACTATACTAAAACTGCAACCCATAAAATATGTGGCCTGTTGTAGGTTCAATGCTAAAAGGTAAAAGATTAAGGCGGTTTAGCATGGCATGGGTTTATGGTGGACTTTTTATGATAATATTGTTTATGATAAGTGATTCCTTTTTAATACTATTAATATTTTCATGTAATAGCATCATGCCAAACTGAAAAGTGGCTTCTGACCCAAGATATGATCTGGTGCAAAATCTAGACCATCTTAGATACAAGATACAAGGTCTTCCATGTTTTGCACTTGGTCATGCTCAAAGATTATAAAGCGTCCTACCAGATATACCATATTTTTCGGAGTATAAGATGCACTGGAGTATAAGACGCACCAAGATTTTGAAGAGGCAACTAAAAAAAAAAGTTTTTGCACTCTGTAGACCTCCCCAAAACAGCCAGTTTTCCCCCCAAAAAATGGGCCCTTTCTGTCAAAAAAGGGGCATGCATAGCTTTTAGGCTTATAGAGTGCTCCTGGGGGCTGGAGGGGCAAAAATGGCTGGTTTTTTGCTCATATTTGCCCTCCCCAGTCCCCAGGAGTACTCTGGAAGTGTCCTAAAGGCTATTCATGGCCATTTTTGCAAAGGGGACAGGATTTCAAGAGGCCAAAAATGCTGTATTCAGTGTATAAATGCACCCAGATTTTCACCCTCTTTTTTGAGGGGGAAAAAATGTTAGCCAGTTGGCTATCTTCCTAATGCAGAAGTAGAGCTCATATCTCCAGATTTTTAGCCCAGAGCCCTAACCACTAGATCAGTGGTTCTCAACCTTCCCAATGCTGCGACCCTTTAATACAGTTCCTCATGTTGTGGTGACCCCCAACCATAAAATTATTTTCATTGCTATTTCATAACTGTAATTTTGCTACGGTTATGAATTGTAATGTAAATACGTGATATGCAGGATATATTTTCATTATTACAAATTGAACATAAAGCATAGTGATTAATCTGCCAATCTTGGTTTGGGAGAAGATCAGCCAGGCTGGGATTTTCCAGGATAAAACAACCTCCCTGCCTGCCTCCAACAGCAGTTTGTGGTTTACATGAGTTTCACTTTATTAAGTTTACTTTTTTTACATTCCGTTCCACCCACCCACCCAGATTTTTCTTTCTCTTTCTTTTTTTCTTTCTTTTTTCTTTCTTTCTTTCTTTTCTTTCTTTTTCTCTTTCTTTCCATTCCTCCCTCCCTTTTCTTCTTTCTTTCCATTCCTCCCTCCCTTGTCTTCTTTCTTTCCTTCCATTCCCTCTCCCTTTTCTTCTTTCTTTCCATTCCTCCCTCCCTTCTCTTCTTTCTTTCCTTCCATTCCCTCCCTTTTCTTCTTTCTTTCCATTCCTCCCTCCCTTCTCTTCTTTCTTTCCTTCCATTCCCTCCCTTTTCTTCTTTCTTTCCATTCCTCCCTCCCTTCTCTTCTTTTTTCTTTCTTTCCATCACCTCCCTTTTCTTCTTTCTTTCCACTCCTCCCTCCCTTCTCTTCTTTCTTTCTTTCCATTCCTCCCTCCTTCCCTTTTCTTTCTTTCCTTCCATTCCTCCCTCCCTCCCTTTTCTTTCTTTCTTTCTTTCTTTCTTTCTTTCTTTCTTTCTTTCTTTCTTTCTTTCTTTCTTTCTTTCTTTCTTAAGCACAGATTAAGAAGTTGTCCTTTAAATGGGATTTTAAATGGAAGCTTAAACTACATCGAACTGTGCTTCCATCCCAAGTGGCATTCCTCGGGATGGAAGGAATGGGTGGGCAGGACCTGTCCTCCCCTCCGACCTCTCCTACCAGCCCTTCTCGGGGGCCAAAAAGCCTCTGAGTTCAGTTTAGCCCGCAGGCAGGACCGGCAGCAGGGGCGGCAAAGGTAACGTCCAGGCCCAAAGGGGCTTGAATCCCGGCATGTGCCTGCCTGGGAAAGCCCGTCCCGCCAGCTGAAGTGGGTAGCTCGACTGCCCCACCGGTTTCCTGCTCTCCGGGCACCTTCAAGCCCCTGTGCAGGCGGCTAGGCTGAAACAGCACCGCTGACCACACTCGCTTTGGACATCCGTCGGAGCTGAGGCTGATCCGTTACCCAGAAGAACCCATCTCTCTCCCCTTCAGCACCTCGGCCTTTCCCTGGCGTGGAGACCGGGTGGGGTGGCGTCTAGGTTGCGCCCAGACCTGGGAGGAGCCTGCTTCACCACCTGGTGCTCTTCATACACCTGCCACTTCAGGCGATGCCGGTGGAGGTGGATGGTCTTAGGCGACCCCTGTGAAATGGTTGTTCGTCTCCTAAGGGGGTCGTGACCCACAGATTGAGAACCACTGCACTAGACCAAACTTGTTCTCATTTGCTATAAACATGAATTTGTCTTCATTCTATTTTTCTTCCTTTGATGTTTTAAGTCAGGTAATTGATTGATGTTCCTAATGCTAACTGGTTCTTCCATGATCATAATTTAAACTATCTTTCCCCAGAACATTGCTGCCAAGAAAGCCAAAAACCTGGATGCCTTCTTTCTGGATTATATAACTATTTTGATACTCTTTTTCTCCCAAGAAATCTGGGTGATAGCTAATTTATTTATCTATATTTTTTGGAATATAAGACGCACCTTTCTCAGCCAGTCATTTTTTTCTCAGCCCAGCAAACTTCACAAGGTTGTTAATGAGATGGCAAACCATAACTACCTTACCTTTACAGTACTTGCTTCCCTCTGCTGGCCATAATAAATATTTGATTTGATTTAAAGTCAGAAGGGAGAAAATGTTCTTTGAATCCATATACTGCACCATTTTTATCCATTAGAATACTCAGCCGGGTAAACAGAAGTCCATGTACGAGGTTACCATGTTTGAGTGGCAAGGTCACAATGTACACTAGGAAAGTAATAGTTTTCAGTATGTCTTTGCTGCCATGAAGCAGTCACTGGGGTGGAGGTGAAAGATTGCAAGCCAAACATGGTAGCTTTAATCTGCCACAAAATCAATGTATCCGGGGTGGGCGAGAGGCAGCCTTTCTTGATATGATATAATGTGTGATGTGCCTGCCTTGAAGGACAATCCTCTTATCAATTAATAATTTGTACTAGTTAAACTATATTTTGGAGACAGGGGCCTTCGTGATTGGTCCACGTTGCTCCTCTTAAAAAAGCTCTTTGCTCATGGGCTGCAGAGTTGCATCTGTTCAGCCTTCCATTCTCTGGGGAAAAGATTCTCTTTCCTACCCCAAAGAATATCGCAGGTCAGTTCTCAAAAATAATTGCCTCTGGCGGCGCAGGCAAAGCATCTCCGCAGCCATCTCGGAGCGGCGCAGGAAGAAGGCGGGGCCGATTGAAAGGCAGCCGGGTGGTTGAGCACCCAGGACCTTGCTATGGCGGCGACAAGCGTCCCCAGCCGTCTCCTGCTGCTACGAGGGAGACGGCGGGGAGGCTTCTTCCTCTTGCCGGGCGTAAGAAACATCTCTAAGAATTGCAGCCGGGGCAATTGCCCCAGCAACGGCAGCAGGTAAGAAATGCGAAGGGTCGGGTGGTTTTCAGGGAGCGTTAAGCCTTCCCCGGCTCTAGGCTGCAAACGAGCAATGCCTGGAGGCTGTGTCTTTGCGCTTGTCGAGCGGGAGAGAAAGCAGAAAGGAGTAAAGGAACCGAAGGAGGGACTGCCAGGGTAACTCAGTTGCCGGCTTTTCTCCAGCCAAGAAGGTGTGACTGGAGGTTCAATCCGGGAGGGAACCGCGCGTCTGAGCGCCTCCGGAACGGAAACGGTGGGGAATCAGCGTGGGTCCGCGCTCCGCTCCAAAAGGCCCGAGAGAGAGAGAGACCTCTTGCACCCTCTTCGAGGAGAGTCACAGCTCATGAGTGGACATTTCCGCCACAAGTTCAGTTTTGTATTTTTAGGACTGTTTATTTACTCGCTATGCAGCTCATTAAGCCACCTGAATCCCTATTCTCTAGGTTTTGAAACTAAAGTGGAGCAGAAGAGATGAAGAAACGTGACAGTGGGGACTTGTTAGTGACGACTATTTGTCATTGCATCTTCCTTCTTATGTCAGGTGTATAGGTACCTCAACTTCTCATGAGAAAGATATTTCAGTGATGGATAGTTAGAGCAGTGTTTTTCAACCTTTTTTGTGCAAAGGCACACTTTTTTCATGAAAAAAATTACGAGGCACACCACCATTAAAAAATGTTAAAAAATTTTAACTCTGTGCCTATACTGACTATATATAAAGTAATTTTCCCACGGCACACCTTACACTATGTCACGGCACCCGCGGCACAGTGGTTGAAAAACACTGAGGTCCAGTTTCTTGTATGCCCCTGATTTTGTAACAACACTCCTTCATTTATGTGTTATGTCTAACTGTGGGTTTTATTATTTGAAACTCATCATGGTGATATTGCTATTAGTTAGGGAATTTTCCTTTCTTTTTGGAGGAAGGATGGATTATACATTATCTAAAGGAAAATGCATTCAAAATATTTGATTTGTCCATGACTGCAGTTTTATAAATGAGCATCCCCAATAGATAGCACTCCCTTGTGATGCCACATAATGATCTGTTAGTTTGTTTTTTAAAAGTTCTACATTCTTCACTTGTGCTGTTCTGTGCTTAATGTTGCAGCTTTCTGTCTCAATTCATAATTTTTCATTAATCAGATATTGTGAGAACACATATCATAAATGTTTCTAAGGACACCAAAAGTAGAACAGAGCAAAGTTATAGGGTTGATCCTTTCTTTACTCTCCTATATTAGTAGGCAGATAGAACAACCCATAGTTTATTTATTTTATTTATTTGTATCCTGCTTCATTGTTTTTAAAAACAAGATGGTGAACATAATACTCTTCAGCTAATCAGGGTGCCGCCTGGCTTGTTGCTGGCCTCCAGGTCGTAAGTCGAGGACTTTCCAAGTGCTCAACATACTCCTTCCTCCTATTTTTGTCAGACACAATAAATCAGGAAGCAAGATGGTTCAAATGCAAACAGGTTTAATGCATGCTAGCACTCTCTACAATAATCTGAACTACTAATGGTCAAAGCAAATTGCCGGCAGATAAGAGTCAACTGATTTCAAGATAGGCTGGACTTAGATCTCTTCTGGGTGCACAGGAAGTCAAGACTGATGACACGCTTGACCCCTACCTTGGGCTAAGCCTGGTCATCTATAGTTTTCACCACAAGAATTCTGTGAGGTAAGTTGGGCTGAGAGAGAGACTGGCCCAAGGTCACTAAACTGACTTTCATGGCTAAGATGAGTGGTCATTTACTTTCTAGCTTGGTGCCTTAATCTCTTGCTGTTTGGAGTGAGTGAGAGTGCTTAGTGTCAGAAATGTGAACTTTAAAAAATTGAGGTAGGTCAGATATTATTTTCTTTCAGGACTGGAATACAAGATAGTCCTCAACTTTTGATCACAATTTAGCCCAAATTTTCATGGCTAAGCAAGAGAATTAAGAAAAATTTGCCCCTTTTTATGACCTTTCTTACCATGGTTGTTAAGTAAATTACTACAATTGTTAAGTTAGTAACACATTTTTAAGTGACCCCAGCTTCCCCTTTGCCTTTGCTTGTCAAAAGGTTGCAAAAGGTGATCACATAACTCAAGGACATTGCAGCTATCATAAATATATGCCAGTTGCCAAGCTTCTGAATTTTGGTCATGTGACCATGGGGATGCTGAAATGGTCATAAGTGTGAAAAACATTCACTTTTTTCAGTGCCATGGTAACTTCAATCATAAATGGCTATAAGTCAACACTACCTGTAATCATAAGCATTGTCATTAACAGTTTACTATTATTCTTCTATTATAAGAGGAATGAAGATTTTCAAAGCCACTCTAGGATTTATTTTTCTTTTTAAAGACACCTCATTTTAAAAGTTTTTGGACAGTCTTAACATTCCTGCTTCATTGCTCAAATCAGATGGCAAAGCATAAATGGATATGGATAATGTGGACTGTGCTGCATTGCATTTTAAGGAACTATTTGTAACCTATCCTCAAATGGATTTGTGATCTTGGCTTTTCTTGGCACAATGTGCAAGTCCAGGTTCAGATGTGACACCAGAGATATCCCTGTATAATAGATAATTGACTAATCGGGAAGAACAAAGACTGCATAGATCTTAACTGCATGAGTTTAGCTTCTTGATTTGTCATTGCAAAGATTGATTTATCTATCAAGGCCATTCAGAAATTTGGCACCATCAATAAGCAGTTTGCTGAAACCTTCTGTATAAGTATTTCTGCTTTGTTCCTCATTCACTTTCTTATAAGACAATATCTGAAACTGTTTGCCCCCACCACCCATTTTACTTCCATTTGTAAACTATTTGGAAAAAACAAGCCAGGGTTGTATAGTTTGTCCAGCTTTTGCAGGGAGTAGAATCCAAATAGAAAAGAGAGTGAAAGAGACAGACAGAGAGAGAGATGGAGAGGGAGAGATGTATATTGGTCCCAAGAAAAATTCTTTCCTTGTGATATCAAAAAAAGGCCATTATGAATAAATTCAATTATTATTTTTCAGATATTCAGCAGAATAAAATTGTGGTATTTAGGTTTGAATAGGTTTGGGACAGCTTTTTAATGAAACGGAGACATCTAGAATGCTGCATTTATTTGGCTTGTAATAATTTTACTAGGGAGTCTTTTGAGATAATTCTACATGTCTTTGAGTGTTTGTGCTTTTTACATGTAGTGTATTTTAGTCATGTTTATATTACAGTGTTAAAATTATTTTGGAAGGATGATACTCCATAAAACAAAGAAGGAATGTGGCTGGAAAAATATTGTACATTCAGATATATTAAAACCTTGACTGGCCTTTCACCTAGACTAGACCAATGTTTATGCTAAAATATAAATTTATACTTTAAAGCAGCAGAAGTGATATAGGAACAATTTAACTTTTCATATTCCCTCTCTAATACATACAAGGTACATCTTTTGTGAGGGGAAGGGGGTATGGGAACTGATGATGGGCTCTAGCACAAGCCCGAAACCTTGGAAGAATAAACCTTTGGTCTTGATGACCAACTCAGATTGGATCCTTCAACATGTATCCAGGGACAATCTGGATAATTTCTATAAAAACTATGAATTTTATAGGCAATAATTTTCCAGAAATCAATGTCATAGAAATGTGTTTTATTTTCGTCCTATATTGTCTGTACTCAGTTGAGTCCTGTGGAATGAGAAAAATATTAGACTTTGGGATGTAACAGGGCTTAGAGCTAGAAATCTGTGGCTTATCTATTACATATTCGTTTTGTATACATTTAAGCTTAGAATTTATGTAGTGATTTAACTAAGTGAAGAATAGAAAAGATGCCATTTCAATTTTCTAAAAATATTTCAGTAGAAATAAAAGAAGAGGTAGATAGTTTTACATCTATACATTGTTTGTTTGTGAATTATATTTTTAAATTCTTCTGCATTTTTATATTTTTAAAACGGTGGCTTGCAAAAAAAGTGTTGAACAATATGCTAACTTAACAATTTATGATATTATTAATAATTTGTTATTGTTATCAATTTTCAATAATTGAATACAAGCAGAATCTGCTTTGGAGCTTCTTATTGTTTGTGAGAATTGTAGTGATGATAGTATAAAAAGAATATGTTCAATTGATATATAACAGCAGTACCAAAATCCCCATGATGATTGCAGAGGTCAGTGTGCCCAGCAGGATGTCAGGGTTCCAAATAGCATCCAAAAACAAATGATGATATAGATGTCCAAGCAACATATTGCTCGAAGTTCCAATTTATTAAGAGAGCCATTTTAGCACATCTGGGAAAACCCAAATCTGAAAGCTTCCAGGTTTTCCCCACCTAGTTGAAATTTCAAGGTCTTGCCTCACACCCACAATTCTGGCAGTTCCACCCATCCAGTTCCTGTCAGGTGCTGAGGTGCAGAGACATGACCTTGGCTTTCTAGAAATAATTTGTTTTGGCTACACGGTAAGTAACTCCATACAATCCCCCCTCCCATTTTCCCAAAATAGAAAAAGGCATAGTAGAATAATAGAAAGTGTGGCAGCCAAAGCTCCAAAAGAAAACTGCAGCCTGACACAGGATTCCCTTAGCTTCTTCCAGGTTTCTTAAGTTCTGAAAACAAAATGAAAAAAATGAAAAACTTGTACTATATGGAAACCAGTAGTTTCAAGCATATTCACAGGTAGTTCTTGAGATATAATGATAAATGTGCCTGCCCATTATGGTCTCATGTCATAACTGTCATTAGGTGAAATGTCTCACTTTATGACCTCCCCCAATTCCTGCTCTGCCCAATGAATTGTTAAACAAATGGGCAGGTTTTTAAACAGTATGGGATGCTGATTCCCATCTCATCAGGCTAAACACCCTCCTCATTACCTTTTGAAGAACTCCAAGGCCTTCTAGAGCGCTCGAGTGGTTTGCTTCTTTGCACAGCCACATGGTGCAATTCTAGAAGTGACCACCATTTTGTCCCACTCACAAAATGGTGGTCACATTTCTTTCACCAC